GCGTCGAGCGTTAAAGCGTTAGCCAATCAACGTATCAGATTCCAGAAGTATACTTGTAGTTCTTGCGGAAAGTGGCACGTTGATTGGCTATCGCTTTAACGCTCGACGCTTGCCATGTAAAGGCACCTTAAGACGTAACGTAAGAATTGACTAATTACGAGTATTCATAAAAATGGCAACCTTACGATTCGATGATTCTCAACATAATTGGTCAATTCTTACGTTACGTCTTACGGTTACTGTTACGAAAAGTGTGTGTGGCCAGCTTCACAGTTACGACAATTTGTGTGTGAAGACCCTAAGGCTGGTTCTACTATAGGTTTGTTCGAGTTGTTTGTACTATTCACACTTTTGCCCATACTATTCACCTGCCCGTTGCACACTAGTGCACCTCATACAGTACAAATTTTCCAAAATACGTTCTGAAAACGTTTTTAGGACAGAGGAATGTCATCAGAATATTCTTAGAGGTCCTTTGGAGGTGTGAATTGTCTGAAAATAACTAATATCCAATAAGTTTATTCGCATTAATTGAACTTTTTATACTTTTACACTTAGTGCACATTAATTCTTTAGAGGTTCTAAAAATGACGTCATGATTTCCATTCGTGTTACGAGTGTGAATGTAATTCTGATACACTTTTTACACTTGATCCCAAGCAAGAGTAAAAAGTGTATCAGAATTGCATTTGCACTCGTAATACGAACGGAAAACATGACGCCATTTTTAGAACCTCTAAAAAATTATTGGGTGCTTTCCAATTGCTTAACACATCTTGACATATATGTAGACTCGTGGTCTGAAAGGTTTGTGCACCGATTTTTTGTAGATTTCGGAACACGTCAACTTTAGGACACAGACAACCACTGCTTGACACGCCAGCGCCGCCACTTATTACGAGAGCAGAAGGATTGCATATACGGTATATGGTATATTCACACCTTCAAAGGACGTCCTAAGAATATTCTGATGACGTTCCTCCGTCCTGAAAACGTCTTCAGAATATATTTTGAAAAATTTGTGTTGTTTGAGGTGCACTAATGTGCAACGAGCATTAAGTATAAAAATATGAAAAGTACAAGCAACTCGACAAACCTATAGTCAGATCTTATATTTAAGATCATCTTGGCTGTGTTCCAAAATTCTACTCGGTGGGTAAAGTATATTTAATTGACCAATCATGATAAAGAAATCCTAGTTATCTTTGTTTTTATTGGTCAATTAAATGCCTTCTACTGAGTAGAATTTTGAAACGCAGCACTTAAGTACTGTCTTAAGATGTCATGAACCAATCACAGAGCTGTATTCGTATCTTAAGATATTACTTAAGACGGTCTTGAAATAAAATTCGACTATGAATACCGGCCCCAGACTTTCCTCCGTATATTTTGTGGGAATGTAGAACGGATTGAGATGAACATAAAAGTACTATTCCGTTTTGCGATATTCGCAATAATAACGGAGAAATTATACATATATATATATATATATATATATATATATATATATATATATATATATATAT